GAATAAGATTAAAGCGCATTTTAGAACAAAGTTACATGTTCTATTACAATAAACAAAACTCATATTAAACTTTTTAGACAGAGCGTTATTACAACTCACCTCTCTTCAGTCGCATTTACCGCGAACTGAAGGAGAGCAACCGGAACCGGAACATGAGTCTTAAAGGAACCACGCACCGTATTTAACAATACTGCAAAATGACCACGTAACCATAGAAATATGACATCTCAATTAATAGAAATTAGAAGAATAAATTCCAAAATACAAAATAATGAAAGAAATGATAACAAAGGAAGAGATTTTGAGTGAAATTAATAAATAAATATAACACCCGTTACACCAACATAATTCTTCCTGAGGAATTCTCCCACATTTTTGGATGGGAAAAAAAAGTCAATGGAGACTGCAAAAACAACAACAGTCGAAAACATCTCAAAGTCTCAGGAAAAACAGAAGCAGGCCTATGAAAAAAAGAGTACAAAAGAAGTACAAAAATACTGTGTATGGTGTTGGAGATGAGGTGCTTCTATTCAACATGAGGAAGCAGGGAAGGAAAGGAGGAAGAATTGAGCCTGATTTTACCGGATCCTATACCATTCAGTCTATATGTGGCAAGCTTGTAACATTGTCTAATTCTGAAGGTGTAACTTTAAAGAGCAAGTACAATGTAAACCACATCAAGCCATACAGAAGGAGCAAAACTGATGATGGTCCAGTCCCCAGGCAGGAATCACACAAGATCCCGAAAGAGAACATGGCATGTACGTTTTCCTGTAGCCCACCTTCTTTGACCAATGAAGATGATTTGGAAAGGATGACTGAAGACATTTCCATTCCACAGAGGCCTTCAGTTGTTCATTTTGCCACAAAGCAAAACATTCAGAGCCCCGATGACACACACAGGAGGTAAAAGCGAAATCTCTACACTACTAGGTGGGCTAACTACTTGATGTAGTTTACACTACTATGTTGTATAACTGTAACAAATAACAATCTTGAATCCTGACGCATCCACAAGGCTCATCGCTGAATATAAAGGAACATCCAGAAGAAAGAGGTTGTAGTTACTGAGTTCTATATTAACAAGTTTGACCCGTTGGTCATTTGTTTGGCCTACCCAAGTTTATTGTTTGCTTGAAAGGGTTTGGTCTGGTCAAACTGTTCATGTTGGCCTGTTGGCTCTTCTGACCTGTTGGTCACTTGTTCTCAAATACACTATATTGACAAAAGTATGTGGATACCATTTGTAATTGATGGATTTGGCCAGGCATCATTGTATTAATAGGAAATCTTGATGCTACAGAATGCATTTACATTCTAGAGAATCGTGTGCATCCAGATTTGTTGGATCAACTGCATATAGATAGTCATGGGTTTAAAAGTAAATGTTAAACAGGCACATAAGTATCCCTTTTAGGTGTCCATGTACTTCTGGCCATATAACGGTAATATCTATATATCAGTCAAATATGTAAGTGATTTAACATTCACGTTTTGTTTACAGTTAGAAGGATGTGGGCTGCAAAAGATTGTGGCCAGGAAGAAGCAGCTGTTGGACCATATAAACTGTGTGATGTATCTCTCCTTACACTGCATGGCACTGAGTGGCTATGGAGGGATTATTGGGTCAGATTGAAAACTAAAAGTCTTAAACGAAAACTAAAAGTCTAAATTTGAAACTAAAAGTCTAAGTCGAAAAATAAAAGTCTAAATCGAAAATGAATTTGGTATTTAGGATTGGGCATTTGGTATTTAGGATTGGGCATTTGGTATTTAGGATTGGGTATTTAATAATTTAGCCATTTAGGATTTAGTATTGGGCATTTGAGGATTGAGGAGTGTATGCAAATAAGGAGGCGTGGCCCAAATACTGGAGGCTGGGTTTGAAATGGCTGGTGCGCAGAGGCACCTAATGGACAGCAGAGGGAGCTCCCAGTGCAAAGGAGCACACTGTAATGAAACCAAACAGAGCGAGTGAGCAGGGCTGCAGTGAGGACTGTACTTTATAATGTGATAACTTCAACTTAATGAACCGTAGGCTACGTATTCATATTGAACCGAAACGGTACGGGCGTCACGGTTCGGTGCACGAATTTACACAGAGAATATCACGGTATAAAAATAAGTAAAACTCTAAATAGCGATACATTTCGCTCTATTCGCGTTTGGTGTGAACGCAGCTTATAACAGGCTATATAATTACAGTCAGTCCTGCTTGAACAGATTCGGTTTGTTTGCAGATTCGATGTGCGCTCACGCGGTCTGCTCATGCATGCGACTTCGGGAGCGCGCATGCATATGAGTGATTCGAATTTGAGTTGCTATGGTGACAAGCCCGTTGTCAAGAGAGGGCATTGGGGGGCAGTGCCTCCCTAATTCAATATTAAATATGATCATTTTCAGTTTCTCATCAAATTGTGTAAGCAGAATATATCTCACAGGAACAGTAATCTCTACAACGGTAGAAATGCATAACACATTATCTTCAGAAATGATTCAAAAAAAAAAATTCATTATTCAACGCATTATTATACAGAACGTAACTTGAAATATAATTATATTCATAAATGACTGTTAAAACATCCCAAAACAGCACCAAAACCTTGCAAAGACCTACCTCATTAATTATTCAAATACAACAGCCAATGGCAAGTCTCCAGCAGCAGACCTTTCAATATGTTATTTTTGTGTTGGTAGTTTTATTTATTCAAATTACAATATACAGTTTGTGTGTAAGTATATATACCATATAAATCATGCATTTCATTTAGTTAAGCATACCGTATAATACGTAATTCCTTTGCGCTGCTGCGCATTGCATGCGATCTCAAAATCAAATTTTGGCGGTTTTGTAGGCCTACAGCAAAGCTATGGATTTAAGGAAGTGGTTTAAAGATTCGTCTTTGACAAAGACGACTTTGACCAACAACAACGTGTGTGGAGACGACTCTGGAGCTAAGGAGATGGTAGGAATGGAGAATTTGTCTAATGAGGCACAAGTTCACAGCGTAGACAGAGCAGCGGGTGTAATTATGAATGGGCCTACTACTAGTGACGTGATCGCCGTCACTGTGACTGTGACTGGGCCAAAGCTGCAGGCCATTGATGATCTTGGAAATGAAGGACCGAATCAGATCCTTTTACAGCGATACCCTGCTCACTTGTATAATAATAAAAATCGCTCCTTTGTGTCTTTATGGTATCAGACTCGTGACTGGCTTGAATATAGTGTCAAAGCTGATGCAGCATTCTGCTATAGGCTACTAGCTAAATGTGGAAATGTTAAGAGAAAATAAACAGAGACGTTGAGATCATACGGTGAATTATTTTATTTAAATAATTGAACAAAACAAGACTATTGTGGTATATTTTAGTTATAGCCTAATATGGGTTGTTGTTTTGGTCTGTCTCAGATCATTAAAAAAAGTGTGCCACCCTATGAAAATTAAATGCCCCCCCATTTGGTTTGTTCTGGCGACGGCCCTGTATGGCGACGCGTGTTATGAATTCTGACTGCAAATATCAACACTTTGATCGCTGTCTGTCGGTTGAGAGACGAGGCGAATTGAGAGACTTTTGCTGAATATTTTCTGTGGTGATCTGGAGATTTTGAAGCTGTTTGGAGGATTTCAGAGAGGAGACTTTTATTCTAGAAGAAGATTGGATAATATATCCTAACTAACGCTGCATCGTTTTATTTATTTTTATTTAATATTATTTCTGAGGAATCTTTAATTTGATTGTTCTTTTCTTATTTTAGAGGGAGTTTGGAGTTTTATTTTATTTATTTATTAGTTTTTTTGGGGGGGGGTGGGGTATTTCTGAGGAGCATTGTATTGTATTGTATTTGTATTGTTTGAAAGAGGATGCCAGGCCCGACCCGGACACAGAGCCAGGAGCTTATTCCTGGATATTTAACACCTCTGTCTTGTGAGTTTGTTTCTGTGTCCACAGGTCCGGCTCACAGGGAGAGAGAGTGGCAGAGAGACAGCCAGCAGAGCCCAGATGATGGACGTCCGTCCACTTCATCTCAACACTCTCTAGCAGAGGTCCGGCACTGAAGAGAAAGCTCAGTTCTAGCCCTCAGGTGTCCGACGCCCATCAGAGCGCATCCTCAATATCCGTCAGTGCCAGTGCTGAGGAAGAGGATATGCCAATGAGAAAGAGGAGGAGGATGGAGAGTTTCGTGAAGCTTCATTACTGCGACTGGAGCCGCATCATCTCAGACCAGAAAAGTGCACCGATATATGAGGGAAGAGCCGAGGGTAAATCAAATGACCATTGCAGAATATCACTGGAGTGTCATTAATTATACCATATATGTATATGACCACACCATATTATATCGAAATACAACTGAAGTTTGATCAAGCCAATAATCAGATTTATTTTTTATTTCCAAGACATGTCATGACATATTTAAACAAGGTTTGTTTAAAAAAATAAAACATTTGAACAGAAGAATAGCCATAAATGAGTATCCAATGTTTAATAATTAGAATTATTAGTTTGAAACATGCTTTTGAGTGATATTCCCTGCTTTAGATCAGAATGGTGTCCAGTCCAGTGCAGCAGAGGATCATGGTCTTCAGGACGCTGTATCCAGTGGTGTTGAAGATCAGCGGGCTCAAACCCCTCCAGCTCCAGTCCACCACAGTCCAGTCCGTCCAGCACCGGCTCACAGCAACAGAGCGGACGTGACAACTGAGGGTGAGTGACGGCCGTGACCTCAAACATTAAACTCACGGCTGTCCATGACACTAAAATGAATCATCTTTTTGCAGATGGCATTTTGAGCCGGTATGAAATGGGCAGAATGCTTGATGAGGGATCGTTCGGCTCTGTTTATGAAGGGAAACGCTTGGAGGACGGCTTTGAGGTGTCCGCATTTTCTTACAATATTTAGCCAACAAATTATTTTGTCTCACTATATCCATTTAAAGTCTTTTTGTGGATATTTTTCCACTATTTACTGCATTTGACATGTTAGAAATGTAACAATGTTTTTTTTGGTTGATCAGGTGGCCGTGAAAATTGCCAGAAAGCCGCAGAACATGAAATACATCTACATTGTAAGTCGGCTACACTCACTATGTTGTTTTCGAATGAAAATATGTAAACATAATGGCAACAACTTCATATAACAATGATCTTTGTTCCAGCCTGGTCATCCCACACCCGTCCCATTAGAGGTCGGCCTATTAACCCTTGCTAATAGCGGCCCCAAAGTCTCCGAGATCATTGAGCTGCTGGACTGGCAGGACCAGCCTGACCGATACATCATGGTCTTGGAGCGTCCCGCACCCTGTAAAGATCTGTGGGAGTTCTGGAACGGTCTCGAAGGAATCCTAAATGAGGACACAGCACGGTTTATTATGGCGCAGGCAACAGTGGCGGCTCAGATGTGCTGTTGCCGTGGAGTGTTTCACCGGGATATTAAGCTTGAGAACCTGCTAATCAACACACAAACTCTTGAGGTCAAACTGATCGACTTCGGGTGCGGGGATCTCCTGCAGGACTCTGGCTATGAGAGATTCTGTGGTATGAATTATGAATCAAACCTGTAGTTTGGAACTTCAGTTCTAGTGACTAGTTCAATCGGTGTCATATAAACCATATCTCACATTTGAGGCAGAATTTTTAAAAATGAAACACACCAGATGTTTTTACCACATGCTCTGGTATTTCATGCTCTTCACTTGCTCATCAGACAACTCTTTTTCCTGCAGGCACTCTAGACTACCGCCCGCCTGAGTCCTGCACAGAGGGCAAGTACCACGGCAAACCAGCAACTGTGTGGTCTCTGGGAGTGCTCTTATTCCTGCTGGTGTGTGGACGCTTTCCAGAAGCACGAGACAGGCGAATGATGGATGAAGACGTCTGGTCTGAGCCGGGCTTGTCCAACAGTAAGATGGCGTTCATCACAATAAAGAAGAAAAACTGGAATTTAAATCATACAAAACAAAGAAATTATGAAAAAGTAGCACCAAAAGATAGATATTGGATAATACAAGCATTTTTTCAGATTTTCTGAGCGTGCTTTATAGAAGAGTCGAATTTTACAGCACAAAGACAGCCGGTGTAAAGCTGAAGGTAATAATCTGACTCGCTTCTCTCGCTCTGCACAGATGCTGCCTCCTGATCCGATCCCTCCTGAAGGAAAGCCCAAGACAACGCATTTATTTGAGGAAAATGCTTCGGCATGAATGGTTTAAGGTAATGAGCCTAAGATCAGCTACAAATGATTTTGAAGATTATATTCACTTTTCATGGTAAAGATTTTACAAATGTTTTCTTCTGATTGTAATCTATGCCTGTAACCTTTTTTGTTTGTTTGTTTCGGGTCCCAGAATAAGACATGAAGAGGCATGTGAGGATTCGTCTCTTAGTTCCTGTGAAAGCTGCTCTCCACAGATCCTGCACTGGATCCAGAGTTTCAGTCTTCGGCGGCTGCTCCTCCTGCTGTGCATCTACAGCTGATGTGAGGATTGGTCTCTCAGTTCCTGTGAAAGGATCCAGAGTTTCCGTCTTCGGCTGCTCCTCCTCCTGCTGTGCATCTACAGCTGATGTGAGGATTGGTCTCTCAGTTCCTGTGACTCTCCACAGATCCTGCACTGGATCCAGAGTTTCCGTCTTCGGCTGCTCCTCCTCCTGCTGTGCATCTACAGCTGATGTGAGGATTGGTCTCTCAGTTCCTGTGACTCTCCACAGATCCTGCACTCAGGGTTCCCGCGGATCCTTAAAAAGTCTTAAAAAGTCTTAAATTAGATTTTTAAAATTTAAGACCATAAAAAGTCTTATAAAGTCTTATTTTTACTTATGAAAGGTCTTAAATTTTAGATGACACTTTGACTTAGACATATCTAAAAGCTTTCCAAATTAAAACTATCTAAGTAGCGTACGTATTTTTTAAAATGTATTATTCTATCTTTGTGGATTTGCTAATTCACGTGACATTTCGCGTCACTCGCGAGTCGCGGCATTATAACTGTCTCCTGCACGCGAGAGGAGAGAAGGAGAAGAAAGGTCGTAAATGTCAGTTCAGTTGTAAGTTCATTCTTTATGTGCGTATGGTGTGCGATGTGTATTGTCTATTATGATATTGTAATCATTGTTTTAACAATGTACGAGGCACTGCGAGCTGACATCGCATTTCTCTCGTGCTTTCACTGCGTGATGTGTGCAGTGTAACTGTTATGTCCCCAAATTAGTTTTTGTCTTATATTTATATCATATTATGTTCTTATATTAGAATATCACATCAGAAAGAGTGCCGTTTTCCCGTGCACAATTCCAAGTGTGATATTTATGTTATACAACAGTTAAATTAACAATAAGTTAACATTGAGTTACTTTTTAGACACAATATTGTCAATATTGTTTGTTTTCCCTTTATTTCGCCGACTATAATTTCAAAATGAAACCGTAGCAGAGTCTCAATGCAACCGACAGCGATGATTTCTTGACTGAAATCCGCATTTTGAACGAATCACTTGCTTCTTTCCCGAATGAATCAGCCGTTTGAACGAATCGGTTGAATGAATGACTCCCTCAACTCACTTACTCACAACAGTGATTTGCCGCTGCGGTTTCATATTTAAAGTACCCTTTAAATAAAATGTTAAAATTAGAAATCATTTCATATTTAAATATTGAATATTGATTTAAAAATAGGCTATATATCTCATAGCTTTATTTATGCAGTTGTAAATGGAGTGTAAATATATTAATGCCACTTCTGATGCCGCTTCTGTCACCTCTGCACTGCAAAGATGGATTTTGATTGAATGATTTAATTTGACTGGTAACAGTGGTACTGTATGATTATTATATAATTAAGTATTATTGTATAATTACTGTATAATTTAATTTGAATGATAGTATTTGACATTAAAGGTGATGCATAACTCTAAATAAGTTTAGAAAAAATGTCCATATATAGGTGAAAATGCCCCTGAAAAAATCAATTTAAGGTGGCAAATATTGCCCCTTTAATTAAAATATTAATTTCTGTCACTGCTGTGAACTGACCACTGCATAGAATATGAAAAATATGAATATCTTCGTGAGTCAGCTGTCAACAACAGACCTAAACCAGCCATGGCACCAGCACAAAAACACAATCAGTAAAATATCATCTAATTATTATCAACAAAACGTTGAAAATATCAAGATATATTTTTGTCAATACTGCACAGCCCTAACGTACGGTATTCATTTTGATTTCTTAAGGTCTTAAAAAGCCTTAAATTTGACTTTCAAAAGTGTGCAGGAACCCTGTGCACTGGATCCAGAGTTTCCGTCTTCGGCTGCTCCTCCTGCTGTGCATCTACAGCTGATGTGAGGCTCCCACAATGCTTTAGCTACTTTGTCTGGCTCCTGGTTTTGAGGAAGGAATATTTCCATCTAGCAGTATTTGGTGACCACACATGAAAATGCAATGTAGATCGTGTAAATGATATTACAAATCTGTTATTTGTTCCTGATCAAATAGTTTTGACTGAGGGCAAAGTTAAGTTTTATAACTTTATATATTTATTTAACCTTTGTGCTTTGACTGAATTGTTGGCTTGTCTGTTTGCTATTCTACAAACCTTCTATTCTTGTATAATGGCTGATATTGTTCATTAACACATCATCATCATCATTTCTTTATTCAGGACATACATATAAAATGGTCCATAGCACTATACAAGATAAAGTATACAAAATAGAAAAAAAAGATAAAAAATTGTAAAAAATTACTACAGTCAAAATTCCACAATACACAAAAAAAGTGTTCAAATATTGGCATATAGACTAAAGCGTGTAATAATTGCCTGCCAAAATCATGAACATGTACATTGCTATACAAGCATATTTGATAAATTCATAAAAAATAAAATAAAATTGTTTTCTGCAAACTACACCAGATTATTGTTCTTCATCTCACTGACTACCCACTGTGGTGATTTTCATGTTGTTCTACTGTTTTATTATTTAATAATTTACTGCCAAAGTCCTATACTTTATACCTTGTTATACAGCAATATTTATTTAAATTAATAAAAAACTCAAATCACATTGTTTTCTGCAAACTCATCTCACTGACTACAACTGTGGTGATTTTCATGTTGTTCTACTGTTTTATTCTTTAATAATTGTCTGCCAAAGTCGTTTACTGCAAATACCTGGCTATATAGGCATATTTGATAAATTCATTAAAAAAAATAAGGTAAAATTGTTTTCTGCAAACTCTACCAGATTATTGTTCTTCATCTCATCGACTACGACTGTGGTGATTTTCATGTTGTAATGTTTTATTATTTAATAATTAACTGCCAAAGTCCTATACTGTATACCTTGTTATACAGCAATAATGAATACATTCATAAACAATCAAATCAAATTGTTTTTAGCAAACTCCACCAGAATATTGTCCTACATCTCACTGACTACCACTGTGGTGATTTACATGTTGATCTACTGTTTTATTATTTAATAATTAACTGCCAAAGTCCTATACTACATATACCTTGTTATACAGCAATATTTAATAAATTCATAACCTTTTTAAATCAAATTGTTTTTACCAAACTCCACCAGATTATTGTTATACATCTCACTGACTACATATGTGGTGATTTTCATGTTGATCTACTGTTTTATTATATAATAATTGTCTGTCAAAGTCCTATATTATACCTTGTTATACAGCAATATTGAATAAATTCATAAACAATTTAAATCAAATTGTTTTTAGCAAACTCCACCAGATTATTGTTCTTTATCTCACTGACTACCACTGTGGTGATTTTCATGTTGATCTACTGTTTTATTATTTAACAATCAACTGCCAAAGTCCTATACTACATACCTTGTTATACAGCAATATTTAATAAATCTAAACAATTTAAATCAAATTGTTTTCTGCAAATTCCATCAGATTATTGTTCTACATCTCACTGACTACCACTGTGGTGATTTTCATGTTGATCTACTGTTTTATTATTTAATAATTAACTGCCAAAGTCCTATACTGCATACCTTCCCTAGTGAAAAAAAGAATGCTAAGTATACTTGCAGCCAGACTAATTGTCAGTATACTTCAAGTGTGTTAATGATTAGTTAACTTGAAGTGTGCTATTTTGGATTTAAAAAAAATTGTACTAAGAGTATTTTATTTATAATTAAATTATACTAAAGTATAACTTTAAGTGTATTTAGTGTACTTTTTGATGCTAAATTGAGACAATTTCAAGTATACTTAGTACACTATAAGTACAATGCGTATTTTCATGCTTGATTGGTGATATTAACTCGTACTTTTTTGTATTACAAGTACATTACAAATTAATTAAGAGTGTCTTCCAAACAAACAAAAAATATACCATAAATATATTATTTTTGAGTAAAAATACACACTCTAAAAACTTATACTATGATTTAATTTGAAAGCAGTGAAATAAATTACATACACTGTATGAACTGAGTAAATGTAAGTAAAAAAATTAAGTAGATCTGAGTAACTCCATTTGGTACATTCACAAATAAAATTGAGTAGAAATAATTGGGGAACAACATTAAAAATATATATATATTTATGAGTAATATCAACTGTTTTTATTTATGAGTAATATTAACTTTTTCATTTCCTTTAAACCTTTGTAAAAAAAATAATAATATTCCATACAACCACCGGTACATAACATTGTCATTGGCCTTTATTGTCGATGAGTACAGCAATACAGCGAATTTTATACGGTTTTAAAATAAACAATATTGCCTACATAACTCATGTAACAAACATTTTAGAAAAATTAAACATTTAAACATGCAAGAAATTCAGGTTTAATCAACCGGCCTGTTATTCAATATCTACCGGATCAGCGCTGGTTCTCGTGCCGGAGATGGACTCGCGCTCTGCGGGGAAACTTCTAACTTTAGACCGCCGTCCTGAGTTTCACTCAGAGCCGAAAGATGCTGCGACGCGACTAAATTAGTTATATTCATTATCTTTAGGAATATAGTCTTGTTATAGGCATAACGCGAAAAGACAGTCGCGACACATATGTATGTTCTTTTGCTTTAAATAAAATGATTTAAACCACAGTAGTGATTCTATAGATAAAATAAAACATACACAAACCTGAATTTCACAGAGGAAATCCACCAATTCTGCGACTCCGAGAAGAGAAAAGTGTTGTTCTGGAGACCGGAGGAGAGAATTCAAACAGTCAGCCCGCGCTCACTCAACCGTTGAGTCGTCGTCACATCAGAGGGTGGGGGAGGGGCCCATTCTTCTTCTTCTTCCTTGGTTTTTTAGGGCAGTTGGCATCCAAAAAGTTGCATTACTGCCATCTACTGTTTATTAGCACTTATTGTCACTTCATACTTAAATTCGTCTTTCCAGTCCAGTCCTCTTTAAAAAATAAAATAAATAATTATTTCCTTGTTCACTCTTCCCATATT